GATATTTGAGATTCCTATTTGTATTACTATGTATTTGTCTTATTCTTTACTAAAGCTCAAATGTATTACCTTATTGTATTCAAATTGTGTTACTAAAATAAATTAATTAATTAATAATGTGGATGAAGAGCAAGTACGCGATTAGTGTTTTTTTAGACATAAAAAAAGTATTTGATTCTAAATAAAATTTGTAAATTTTATTACTCAAAAAACAACACTGTGCTGAGATAATATTTTAAAATTAATAGTCACAAATATATGGTATATCTCAAATAGAGTTAAATGTGAATGTAGTGATGTAAATAAAATTTCAATTGGTGTACCACAGATTTTTGTTCTAGGCCCAATAATGTTTCATATTTATGTTAATGACCTTCTCAATGTTAGTAAAAAAAATTATATTTTACTGGTACCCATGATACTCTTTTGCTTTTTAATTATAAAAGTATGTAAGTCCTATTTAATGAAAAAATGTGTTTAGTACATGGAATTCAGAATTGGTATGGTTACAAGTTTACAAAGTCAAATCTAAAAAAGTCGAATTTTATATTATTGAACTTTAGATCTAATTCAACTACCTCTCATGAATCTCTCAATTTGCCCACATTCTTTAAGTTGAAAAAAAATAATTGTATCTTGTAACTAACAACACATCCATAGTCAACCATACTTGATAATTAATGAAAACCTTAAATGGAATTATCATATAGATAAATTAGTTATAACTATCATAAACAATTAATTTATACATTTAAAAGTTTAAAATGTGTTTTGGATATTGAACATTTAAGAATTATACACATGTGGTTAATTCAATCTTTAGTCTATTATAGATCGCCCCTTTGAGATGGTACATAAAAACTTATTTAACTCCCTGAAATGCAACTACTAATAGTTTAATATTTAGGTCATTATCCCAATGCCTTTTTATACCCAACAAATCAGTTATATATCGACTTTGATGTCCAGTGCCTATTTTCTTTACATTATAAATATTTGCTTTTACTTGTAGTACATGAATATAAACATTGTTTAAAGTCTATTGAGCATTGTTATAATACTAACAAAAAATTTAAATCTAATCCTAATTCTATTACATTTTATAATACTGTAACCTGCAGTTATTATCCATGCCTGTTGTTTTGAATTGGATAGTCTATTCCTTATTAAATTGTTGATACCTCCTTTAAATTTAATCTATTACCATCTGCATCTCCATTGATTATGCTTTGAAAAATGGTATAAAACTGCATAGAATTGCCTTACACCTAAACAAATTATTAAGATATTTTAATATTATTTAAAATTTATGCAACACAACAACTACAGTGCATACAATTTGTTAAGGGAATTGGATACCGGTTTTGTTTTCTATCAGAATAGACATTTATTTTTATTATTATTTTTTATGCAAATTTTAAAAGATAAAGAAAACAGTGACCTTACCAAATTGTATTGATTTTATTTAAATTTTGAAAATATTTGTCAAATAATGTTTCGCATTACAGATACAAGATCAGTTATTATATTTGATACTGAAGTTTCATTGTATGCTAATTTACATTAAGAAAATCCTGCGATGATCTGCCAGAAATAGATAAATATTTTAAAAATGTAATATAACATTTTGCAACAAATAAATTTAAAAAAAAAAAAAAACAAGACAAAACCACAAAACTAAACATTTGATTAGATTAAGTTATTATAATTTAAACATATAATGTAAAATACAAATGAAACTGAAAATATGAAAACACCCATTATAAAGGTTGTGTATTTATGACTGGTTTTAATTGAAATATTACAACAAAGTCATAATATAGCAAATCAGAAAAAACAACCTGTATCACTCCAAGCTGTTTTATCATATTATTATTATTATTATTTTTTTTTTTATTATTATAATATATATTATAATAATTCTTCCAATAAATCGTTTACACATTCTATTTTATTGTCAAATAAATTAAAATAACTGTGGCAATAAGATTTTACATTTGAAAATATTATTCTTGGTTTTAATTAAATCATTGATTGATGTCTATGATTTATCAGAACCCAAAATCTTATTATATCATTTGATGATATAGGATTAGAGGAATTATTATTATATACAGGCTCCTAAAGTCAATGATATAACCTATATTCAAGTTATCCTGAAATATTAAATCGAATATTTTATATCTTAATTGATTTGAACCCGGACTATCACTATAATATTTACTATAGTTATTTCAACAATATAACTACATTAATATACACTCAATAATTTTCCTCTCCATTTTACTTACAGAAAAATCCTCTTGAAATGAATTTTCATTTAAACCATAGGATATTTAAAAATATCTTCACACATTGTACACTTCCATCCAATTTTTGGTAAACTGTAAAATAAAAATAAATCATTACAATTGTATGAAAATGTGCAAGAAAAAAATGAATATTTAATTTCAAACATCAATTATTTACAACTAGTAAATGGTATCATAGGTATGTCATTATGTTCTATAATTCCATAATGATTGCAATACATGATCAGTAATTATATTTGACACTAGATCATTATTAGCTATAAATTATAAAAGTTTATACATTTGGTGAATTTTTAATGGTGTAATAGACAATAAACTTACATGAAAGACAATTTTTCACAGGTTTAGCTCATCTTCATATAATTTCTATATTACTATCTAATAACTTCGTTGGACATATTTGATCAATAATTTGTAAATGTATTTACTTTATTCTTATTGATTCTATAATGAATAAACATTATGTTACTAGTTATATTCCATAATTGTATGATATATTTAACTTTTATATAACCTACTCTGATAAGTTCACAGTATCAAATATATTTTAGTGTTTTTCGAAATTGAATCTATTACATATACATAATATTTAAAAAAAAAATTTTGTCTTAAATGGTTTTTATTAAGTTGTTTACAAATGTTTAAAACATGTTCATCTATTAAATCAGATAGTAGGTTTTTGCAAATTTTAATCTAACATAAACTTTAAAAATGCTTTATCAGACATTTGAAATAATGTTAATATTTTTAAAATCTTCCTTTATATTTCTATTTTAATCTCATTGTTTTATTAATTCTTTGGTTTTTGTTTGACTGTCTGATTGTCTTAAACAATATTCTGCTTACAGACTATTTGTTCTGTAATTAAAAGAACTTCCTTAAACTTCTATACTTATAGATTATACGAGTATTCAATTGTCAGTTTAATAACTGTGAAATGGATTTCACTTAGAACAACTTATTCAATTTACATTAAATTAATTTATATTAATATAATTGTATACGAAAGAAAAACGTTTATCATATTATTATATTTATACACTCTTATTTATTAATTTAAAAATGTATAAGTATTAATAACTACATATCAAATTAATTACATTATTAATTTAATATTTTAAATATTTTAAACTTACTTTTGCACAAGTATTACAGGAAGTAAAAGCTTCATTGGATAAATCATTATAAGCAAATGATTTTGCTCATTACTTAAATGTATCTATAAACATAAATACATATGTAATATTTTAAACAGATATTCAAGATGACTTTCTAACAGAAATGTATTATAAATTATAAATTACCTATTATTGGTAAACATACTTGTACAAATTAATTGAAATAAAATTTATTGTTGAGTAATATTTTTCATCACACTGTTTTTAAGACTAGTATATTTTCAATTTTCAGGATAATCTCTGTTGAATTGTAGATTTCACTTGATAAATTTACAACAAAATAAAAATAATTTCATAATTGTGATTCTTCCCACTGAATATCCAATACAAATAAATAGGTATTAAAAACAAAAATCCAAGTACTAATATGAAATTTTATTAAATTGAAATTAAACATTTACTTACACGATGTGGGAAATAAAATTGAACCGATGAAAAATCTAATCTAACAGTCTAACAAAGACACTCAACATAATGTGTGTCTCATAACAACAACCGTTTTGACTGCGTTATCACTTAATAGTTTAATCTTGGTTATATTAAATTTATACCATATCTGTTATCATAGATTAATAATTGAATGCGGCAATGCGCCAAATTTTTAAATGTATACTATTATACAATATTATTATTATATTTTTTTATAATATAATTCAAAAATTCCCAGCATATTTTTATATTTTTTTGTAGTAAGTTTATCAAGACAATCACAAAGTCTGAAAATCATTTCTTGACCGTGTTATATATCTCAATGAATAGTATTTTCTTAATAGTTCTTTGGTTATATTTTTTTCAAATTATATTTGAGATTCTTTTTAAAATTTATTTATTTTTGTTCGTATTATTATGTATTATAATGGAATCAGAAATACAATTTACAATTTGTGACAAAAAGTTAACGAAAAACAAAAATCTGTACATACTTGCCTAATTCATAATATCAAACCAGGGATCACTAAAAAAACAGGACAAGATAACATGACCTAATACATTTTAATACACATGCCAATTTAAAGACATATATCAATTTTTGAATTATTCAAAGGAGGTTTTTTGAGAAAAAAATGTTGAATATTTAAAAGAAATAGATCAATTCAAATTAACTATTACAGTTACTTGAAAATACATCAAGAAAAAACCATCATACGAAAAAATAAACCCAGGTTTCATAACAAAAAGTAAACGCTTCCTTTATTTTAGTAATTTTAACGATTTAAATAAAAATCTGAAAGAAACCATTCAATCTCGAGAAGACGCATTTGTGGCTAAAAGTTCTGATTGGATATTTATCATTGTTATTAATATGATCATAAATATGTACAAGTATAATTCACTTAGTAGATCATCATATATTAAATTACCAAGAGATATCTGATAATAAAGCTATTACCAACATTCAAAACCAAGATAATAAATGTTTTTTTTTGTCAATTTTTGCTGCTTTACATCCTATCGAAAAATATGCAAATAGGGTTAACAAATTTAAAGAATTTGGTTAAGGATTTCAAAGTTTAAATATTGAATTACCTCTTAAATTAAAAGGTATACCTAAATTTGAAAAAAAATAACATATATGTCTATTAATGTGTTTACTGATGAAGATAATAAAAATATAGTACCGCTACAAATATGTCATATTGAAAAAGAAACACATATTAACTTATTTTATCTTAGGTAAAAAAATAAAGAACATTATTGTTGGATTAAAAATTTATCTAAATTAGTTGTCTCACAAATAAAAAGACATTGCGATACAATTTATTTATGTAACAAATGTTTGTCACATGTTTCTAGTAAGGAAAAACTAATTACAATTAAAACAATATTACTGAATATATCTGATCGTATTCTTCAATTTGAAAAATACAATCAATCCTATAAAGTTCCTTTCATCATTTATGCAGATTTCAAAAGTATTCTACTCAAAATTGATACATGCTAACCCTATAGATGGTTTACCGTTTATAATTGGTGGTTTATAACGCCAAGCATACTTATTGGGGATCGAGATAGGCTACTAAAGGCTGTGGTTTCTTTATATCTGCAAATAAAATTAAAGTAAAATTCATCTCAACTAAAAAACCAGCCTATTGACCAACTGACTCAAATAAACTACTTAATCTTATTAACTTCTTATTTGATGAAAGGAATTTCATCAAATTATGTAGAAGTTGAAGGTCTAATTGAGCTAAAGTCGGATCATATTTACATGGTTCCCTCATTAAGTTCCAATGTAATAGTGAAACAAAAGGAAACTTTCATAACAAACAAAAAAAACGAATTGGTACATATTTAGAAATGCTCCCGAAGAAAACATAACTCTTTCAATTAGAACAAGAACAATAGCCGTCATTGAAAATGCAGTTAAAAAGTTGACCGACGATATTATTAATGTAGCAACATAGTATTTTTTCAAAATTTAAGAATTTATTTTAATACAAAGTTTAGTAAAATGTACAAAATAGCATATAGAAACATAATGTTTAATTACACATAACTGTGATTGAGACTTATTTTCACTTTAATTTGGCAATATAAGACTTTAAATACAAAATGCACCAATAACTAATGCAGACGTAGAACGTAGTTTTTCTTTAAACAAACAAATTTTAAGTAATAGAAGATTTAATTTTAATGAAAATAATTTAGAAATGTATCCAATTATCAATTTTATTTAAAAAAGTAACATTTATGTATTTTTTTTTATAACTTCTTTATAGTACAATTTATTATGCAATTTTTACATATTTTTTGGTGCAATTATAAAATTTTAATATGCAATTTGTGTGTGTTTTTAATTTAATTAAATCCGGTTTTTAATTATAAGTAATAACCAATGGCTATAATATAAATATTTACGGGGTGCTTAAAAATGTGATATTCTATAAATTTTATAATGATATATTTTAAATAACCCGTAGTTAATTCTAATTTATAGAGAGTTACTAAATTAAGTAATCTAAGTTATCAAATCGATTTCTAGGTACCTGTGCCTATTTTAGGAACAATATTATAATTTATTATTATATTATTATACATTTTTTTTTTTAATATTATTATTATTTGGTCTATTAATGATCTTGTTTACTCACATGTGCTAGTAGTTCGTACCGTCATGACAGGTTAGTACTTAATATTGCCTCTGGACATTATGAAAAAAAAAAAAATTATTATTCTTCTTTGTAGTTTTAATTTTATTGCTTTAGTTTATTTAATTCATTATTGTATACTTTACCCATACATTTATAATAGTTTTAATATTCCTACAACCTACTTCATTTTTCAGTTATTTCTTACTTATTACTCTAAATATTTGATAAAATGAATTAAATTTGTTAGTAAATTGTTAATTTATTCATATATTCATTATTAAATTTAATAATATAGAATAATTATTATTTGTGACACAATGACTGAAATGGATAAAAAAATCTACTAAATATCTTATTCGATATATTGTATGCTATTTTGGCAGAATTTCTAACACTTCAACTTACTTAATTTATCTTGAACTCATCTTCAGACGAAGAAAACCCAATTACGTCTATTTTAATTGAATCGTATTAAATAAATGTATATACTTGGTCAAATAAAAATAAAAATGTTATATTTTTATAAAGTTTTTACATTGATAAACTTCATGATCATTGTAGTAGAATAAAAATAAAAAATAAAAATAAAGGAAAGGGAAAGGTAGAATAATATGGGATGGAGGAGTGTGTGATTGAAAGGTGAACAGTCAAATATCTCTATATTTGACCTATATATAGATATATGGTGTGAAATGATATTGTTATTACATAATATGTATAATACGGATTCCTGGCGGTTTGTCCGTCGATGAATATGTGTATTTATCGTTCTATGTGTGTGTGTGTGTTTATTACACGGTCATCGTCCCGACATAAACATACTTATATAAAGACATATTATGTTAACTATTGACCGGCAGCTACCTACCGCACGAGATTATTTTTGATTAATTTATTTGCATCTACCTAATTTTTCACTTAATGTTCTACTACAAGAATATGAAAATAATCATTTACCTCGGTATGCTGCTTGAAGTTCGTTTCTCAAAATGTAAGGAACAGGTAAAACTTTATAAGGATCCGTAGGTTTCGATGAATTGTTACAACAAACACAAGTAGGTTTCCTAATTGTTTTGTCACCAAGTCTACTATTCCAATAGGTATTTATGTGGTTATACCCAGACGTCGGGTCGCTAATAAATGACGAATTGCGGGAGAATCATTCGTTTAGTGTAACGAATCGCTAACCGACATATTATTGTGTAGCCATTATGCTTTAAAGTGCTTATTACAATAAAAAATGTACAGACAAATAATTATCTTGAGATACGTGTAAACCTTAAGATTTACACGTCTCACGTTTTATGCAATACGTGGACCCGTGTTTTTTCCTGGTTTTTCACATTTGCTAGGAAAAGTCTTGAAAAAATCAAAAAACGGCATCCTTAAAGTACCCTTTCTGTCAGATTTCCTTTCAGAAAAATTGCTTGTTAAATGATATTCATAGGGGAAAAATGCCAAAATATTTTTCAATTAATACCTACATTTCGTACATTTTCCCGTTTTTCCTACATTTTTTTTCGGTTTTACAAATTTAATGAAAAATCTCCTGAGAAAATTGAAAAAATACTTCTTGAAGTACCTCCCCACACCGATTTTCTTTCAGAAAAGGTGCTATACTTAAAAATCGGAGCAAGATCTCTGGTAATAAAGTTGTCTGCAAAAAAAAAAAAAAAAAAACATCTTTGTAAAACCATAAACTTTTTCGCTTTACTCAAAATCTAAAAAATACATTTCTAATAAATTATTTTTTGACAAATTTATTTTCGTTAACAAAATGTTCGGACAAAAACAATTCTGTTTAAATATTTTTCTAGCATTTTTTTTTCGTCTGTTATGTTTTCGTATAAATTATTTTTTGACTAAAATACTTTTCTGCTCAAATACTTTCCATAAATTCGTTTTAAACGAAATATTTTCGAACAAACACCCAGACGGATGTGTGGTTTTTTTAATAGATAAAAAAATATTAGTATATCATTTTTTCTTCGATAAATTCAAATTTATTAATGGATCAGTACAGTTTTGGGCTAATATACAAGTATCTCCCTCAAAAATTTAGTTTTAGCTATGCCTATGCTAAGAGCACAAAATTGTCGTTGTTGATCATAAATTTGAACACTCTGAACACGAATATATTTATATAAATCAAATGTTTTACATATTTTAATAACATTTTTAGAAAATGTATAATTTATTAGCACTATTTTAAATTTTTAAGATAATATAAATCCCTCACTTTACTTGTCATACCTACTCTTTTTGTTTTATGGAATCTTATACTTTCAAAAGGTTGAACTACATAAAGCGTTTGTTTAGCATTCTTTAACGTAATTTAACAATTATGTATTAAAGTAAATAACTATGTGCGTGGTAAAATCTTTATTTTAAAATATAAGATACGTTTACCTCAAGAATGTCAAAATATAAATTTACAAGATTTAGTAGGCATGTTGTTGTTCAGTTATGCTATGTAGTTGTTTAACGTTGTCTTTGTGCGTTCTTTATTTTTTAGTAGCTATGCGATAAGAAGATCAATCAGAAAAAAAATGCGAATATTACAAATATTCGTTTAAGGACTTGCTGTGATGATGGTGATAATAATAATAATTTACACATTATAATATTATCAAAGAAATTACGTAGGAATTATAAGGTAACCGTATATATAGTTATATATCATAGAGTAAGGTTATGAAACACAGTGTTGTGAGTATATATTTTATACATATTTGATATTCTATAACTATACTGTACTTATAAAATTAAATTAAAAAAACATCAAACAGTCATAAATTCTCAAACTGATATTTTTAGACAAGGTTCAAACATGGTTCGTTTCTGACAACCGTGCTTATATACGTAAATATGTATTTAAATAATATTATCTTACACGAATATACAAGAGTGTAAATTGGTAAAACAATATTATGCATAGTGTACTACGCAGTAACCACCGCGGAAATGTTATATAAACGCAGTGACGTAGGTTATGAAAGGGTTATAACCTTCCCTTCCAGAATATCTTTGACAACTATTTTTAAGAAGACGTGCGCTACCTTCTATACAAACAATTTTATTAACATTTTTTGGAAAAATAAATTTACACAGGAGCGTATTTAGAAATAAATAAAGGAGGGGTTACACAAAAAATCAAATAAATGGTACAAATAAATTTAAAAAACAAATAAATAATCGATAATTTAAAAATGTACATTTTATTTAACAAATGGTATATGTTGTTTTATATTTATTAATATTCAATTTATTTAAAAAAAAAACATTCGTTACACTGTATCTATTACTATAATACGTTTAAAAATAAAAAATTATTAGCGTACACCAACTTTGCGGATTGTCCGTTATAATATTATATTCTCTAATCTCAAATAAAATTACACTAGAACAGTGACAGTGGAATGTTACATTTTGTTCCACAAAACATTTAAATTGTACTTACAAACTTTTGTTCCAAAATAATGTTTATCATGAAGTCATGTACTCATTGACACTACATAATATTTTGTAAATTAATTTTAAATAATAATTAAATACCGGATTTAATTGAATTTAAAACACATATAAATTGCATATTAAAATTATATAATTGCACTAAAAAAATATGTAAATCATCTATTACTTAAAATGTGTTTGTACAAAGATAAACTACTTTCTACATCTACACTAGTTATTGGTGCATACTTAAAACAATTCAATAAAGTAGGTGTTATATCTAAATTAACATTTGCTTCACCTGACATTACTTCATAGTAAGGCTTTAAAGTGTTATACCCTTCATTTTTTTCAATTAAATACATACATTTTTCTTTAATTTTTTTCCCAATTGGACCAGGAATATTTGTTAAAATATCTTCAATTTTTCCAAAAATATCCATGTTTTTATTAGTTCACTATTAGATTCTTCCAAATATTTAAGAAACATGTATAACTCGGATAAATGTGATTTTATGAATGCTAAACCAGATTTGACTGCATTATTTTGTACAAGCTGTTTCAGGTTTTCGACACTTGTAGTACCATCTGTTGAACTTTCAATCACGTTTTTAAACTTTAAAAAATTATTTGCATAGAAAAGTTCAGCATTTAACCATGTTGTTCCCCATCTTGTAATAATAGGTTCGGGTGGTAAAGGTATATCCGGCATTTTTTTTCTGTATTTATTTATTATCAATAATACTTTTAGGAAAGCTTTTTTTCCTGAAAATAAACGAAATAAGTTATGTATACATTTAAATTTTAAATAGGTACTTAATATATTACTATTGTTAATTAATTAATTTATGTCAGGATACAATTCTCGAAGTTTCTCTAGAACTCAATTAACTGCATGCGCCATACATATAATCTGAATTAATTCCGGGAAAAATATTTTTAATGCTTTTGCTGCTTTGAACATATAAGTACTGGTACTAATAAAAAGTAATAATTTTTGTTCAATACCAGGAAATATATATTTTTAACGAGGATTTAATAAAATGACAAATAGTTTCATATTTGGTGGATTCTAGTTCTTTACATCCAACTAAATATGATTTACTAGGCGTCCTATCTAATTTACCAATTAATAAATTTGCAATAGCTAAACCTAAACGAAAATACTATATTTTATTATATGAGAAATTAAAAAAAACTTTTTTTACAACCCTTTTGGATAAATTGTTTCGTCAATAATTATGCAAACGTAATTATTTCCAATATCACTAATTATTTGGCCCATAACGCTTTTATAAATATTTGGTATGTAATTTTTTCTTAAAGTGCGTTCGTCCGGAATTGATTTGCCAGTATGTTTTTCCAAAAATGATTTTAACACAGGATTGCCTAGCTTATTAAAAGGAATATTTGCAGTAACAAATGCATTACATAAATCTTCAAAAAATACATTTTTATTATTCGAATATTGAGAAGTAATCAAAAGCTGTTTTTTTACTTTATTCCTTTGTAATAAATTTATGTGTTGAACTAAAAAAAATATACGAGTATTTTTGAAATAATATATAGTATATAACGTGTAGTATGAGCATAAAATACAAAACTTACTTGTTTTGGAATGATGATCTAATAGACATTTTTTTCAGTTGACACAGATTTTTTACGTACGAGACAGTGTATAACCTTTCCGTCTGATGAAAATACTTCTTTATTTTCATTGTAAGGAGCAATCTAAATTCTAATCGAAATTTTACTTTTTAAAATTGATTTTATTTCAGGCATTACGCCGAATACGTTCATTGTGCGGCCAAACTGATCAAAGAAATAGGTACTAAAGTATCAACAGGTAAACGCACATGAATCGCTGTACTACTACGTTGAATTTAATTACCACTATATATATATATATATATATATATATATACATATATATATATACAAAGACGCTTGTCGCTTGTATAAATATGTATAAATCAAATATATAAATCTTTTTCTTTCTTTAGCAAATCAGTTTATAATGTTATCCACATTTAATTCCACATCTCTATGCAGGTACGTAAAAGCGCCAAAACAGTCCACCTTTCTTTGCCCATTTTTGCTCGTATAACCAGATTTTCAACCTAAAAATATTAAAGCTTAAAGCAACAAACTAAAAATTGCTAAACAATTATATACTAGTAAAACGTAAACTATAATAGTACTTACTATTAAATGCGTGTACATATAAATATATTATATTGTATTATAATATATTATAAAACAATAGATGCCCATTTATTTAAATGTCATAAACATGTATAATTATTTTAAAACAATTTAATACTATTATTTTTCTTCAAATTACAACCTTTTGGAAATGTAAAATAATAATCTAACTAACATAAGGTAGAAAATGGGTGTTAATATTTATATTTTCGTGATATTTACCAGACACTAACTTGACTCATTAGGACCAGCTCCTAATGCTTTTGAATTTTGAACGCCAATAATATAACAATTACATTGCGTTTAAAATATATATACACTGATATACGTATAATATAAATTTACATACATGAACTCGACCCAAGGGGATATGTGATCGCCCCTTCCCCCCAAAAATTCGCCACTGCTATTAGACGATTTAATACATTTGTTAGAAAATATGTGAATTATTCTACTTTTGTTGTGTTCAGTGGCGTATTTTCTGGTAGATAGGCATAGTTCATAACAGTTATGTACCTGGGCATTTTGTTGAAGATGTTAAATATTTAATATTAACGAGTATGTAAGTTTCAATAACTAGCTATTATATAATCCAATAATAATTTATTTTTTGGTGCAATAAAAGTCTTACCATAAATGTACCTATTGCATTCATCGCACTTAATATATTTAGCCGAAGCTTGGAAATCTACAATAACATAATAAAATGAATATATGTACAATTTTCTTACTAAGTTATGAACGGGAGGGGGAGTCTAGTATACATAGATCCCCCCATAAATATGGAACTGGTTGGGTGGAAAATTCTAGACTGAGTTTGTGGGCCGCATAAACACATGTGTATCAAAAAAAATTAAAATGACGCTACAGTTTGAAATACCGTGATTTTTACAATTTCCGTTTAGAAAATTCACCCCATCTATAAATAGCCATTATTAATATCCTATGCAAATGATTTCAGATTATATCAAACTGAATCAATCATTCTTTTTGTTTTTTTTTCCAGATTTTGTTCAATTTTTAATAAAACTACATTTTAAATTAAAAACCGTCTTATTCACCATCTAAATTCAAAATGCAACAAAAAGGTCTCATGTTATATTTTGGTCGGAGTAATATTTCTGGTAAAAATTTTTCTCAAAGGCAGAAGAAAAGCGCACACCATAGTAAAACCAATACATTCCTCGCTGCGCTCAGAATTTGAACTATACCAGGATATATATATTTTTGAGTGCTCTTTACCGCAAAATGTTACATGCTACTACTTGACGTTCGGCTCATCAATAGTTATTGATTGTTTAAACCTCATGATGTCTGTGTGCATAAAACATAATAATATTTAATAATTAGTCCAGCACACCTATGAAGCTAAGGATATAATAATAGATGTATTATATTATGATATTATAGTTGTTGAATAATACGTTGGGTTAATGTGTAAACAAATAACTAAAACATTTTCGGTTGTAAACAACATCCATATATAACATCAAAAAAAGTTGATACAGTATTTTATTAATATAGGTACTACTATCAATACATATATACTAAGATACATAAAAAGATGACACGCATCGAACAAATATAATTTTCTTTTAAAACTAATGAAATTAGGTATATAATCATAGAAATATAATTTTTATACCGTATCCTTTTACGAGAGTATTTAATTGTACAAGTACCTAGAGGTATTTACCTAATAACTTATATTTGATTTTAAACGATTTTCCTTCAATATCAATTTTAGACAATTTTTTTAAAAATTCTGAGAATATATTATTATAATATTACTGATTCGATCACGTGAAAACATAAAGCGTCTCGTTAAATATTACTTAATATTAGTGTATTTATTTGTTTGTGACGAAAAAAAAAGTTCAAGGTAAATATTTCAATGAAATTGTAATGAATATTGTTATAGTGTGATTATTAATCTCATACCTATACTTATACTTAGTATTTTCTCAAATTGTCTTGGATTAAAATAAAAATACTGTGGTTTTATGTTAAAACGAACCATCGAAAGTTAAATGGGTAATATTTTTTATTTTTATTACTGGAAAATTGAGAAAAATATACCAATTGCATTATAGTAGACAGATAGTTATACATTTTCAGTATAAATACTTATTCGAATAAATTTATAAATAGTAATGTCTTAATATTTAAAATTGATGTTTACCAAATTCGTATTATTTTTAATTCATATAATTCCACATACAAAAGACTAAAATAGTTGGCACCTATTTTAACTTTAATGTATTAGACAATATGTTATAAGTATTTAAAAAAAATAATAATTCCCCGTATTAAGACGTCTATGAAGTTAGCCGCACAAATTTTTTTAAATCAAATTTTGCCTAAATTTTGTAAGTAGTTTGTAAGTATTTGTAAACATGAATTTGAAATTTTTTAGTCCAGCCGTTTTTAATTATCCGTTTAAAATTTATTTCATGGCTATCTTTTGTGAAACTTGTTTCGTTAGATTACCTAATTGATTTCTTGCTTCGTCCCAAACAAGCTGTAATGTGGATAGTGAGTGAATAAGTGATAAATGTTGTAATGGCTCACCACACGTTAATTGTTTCTGTGTTGGATTTGTACAACTATCTTAGACTGTGGTACACAGTCAACACAATATTTTAGAACTATGTGACAATTTTTTCTGATTGTTCCATTCTCAAATTCGACAAGAACTCAAAGCAAATAAGCACAGAAAATAGCAAATGTTCTTTCACGAAATCTAGCTAAAGATAATAAAATAATTTATTATCCACAAATTCAGAGCGAAAACCAGCTGTAACCTCATTAAAGCCATCGTAGATCTCCGTAGGCGATCCAGCAACAGAACAAATGTATGCGGTTGATTTAGAGATAATATAGAGTCAAACAACTAATAACTAGTCACCATAAAGCTACGCGATAACGACAAAAAGTCTTTTAACAAAACAAAATTACATAAATTCCAATAAAATGACACCCGAAAAAAAATTACCACATAAAGTTACCAACCGTGTATTTGGACAAATTTAACACACTGTGGATTGACGTGCATTAGGGCACATTTGACGTTATTTAAATTATTATCGACAAGTGACCGGGTAAGCCACCCTTTATGTCAAGTGGTTATTTGTTGAGCAGCTTTTTAACAAAATAAATTCCATAAAATGTGCACTTAAATATATACAGTTGATAGTATTATATGATGACTGTTTGTCGGGTGGAATTTAGTCGGATTATGGCGTTGGCGTTTTGCCAAATAGTTTTTTATTGTTATCGCATAGCTTTATATTAAGTGGTTATTTGTTAAGTAGCTTTTGACATACTTTGATTATAGGTAGGTTGTTGAAATTCTTTTAAAACGACATTTTTTCATTTTCTTTACATAAATTATATAATAATTATATAAATAAGGGCTGAGACTTCAATGTTAGTTTAAGTTATTATTCATAATTATCAATGCGATGTACATGTTTTATTGTTAGACATTTTTATTTATATATTTTTTATAAATTTTATTACACAATTTTATTTTGAATTCTTTGTTTTTAATTGATTTTTTATTTTTAAATGTTCATTGTATTTTACAAACGTATTATTTTAAACTTTTAGTCATTATTTTCATTATTTAGTTTTATTTTTGAGGATTATTATATTCATTCCCAACCCTATTTATATAAGTTTTTAATGTTAAATTGTAGGGAAATAATATTTAAAGGAAACTGTAATTAATCGTTGAGAGTCATTATAGAATATACTAATTTATAAAGCGGCTGATTATGAATTTCTTCATTCTAGAACAGCAATTAATAACCATATGTAGATAACCGTCCATTGCAGCATCCGTGGAGATAAATGATTGAAGCACGCAAGGTTTTCTGTGAACAAAAAATAAAACAGAATCGAAAAAATATTATTTAAGTGTCGGAAACAGATAACAAAACTACACACATGAATTTAATTTCATACAATCCCGTTACAAGATTTAGACAGAATAATATAATTTAAAAAAAAGGGATATGTTTTTTATACAGCTTTTACGACATCGATCGCAAAAGAAATATTTATTTCTGTTAAAAATAAGTTATAGAATGTTTTTTTTTATTGTTATTATTCTTAGTATTAATTAATTGGAATTTACAAAAATTTGTAATATTACTCTTTCCCATTCAAGTATTTATATTATTTTATTTGGCCTACCCAGAAAAATACGCCTCTGTTTATACCAAGAGATTAATGTGGCCAAATGTTTAATGTATAGTTTGGTACATGAAGGATAAATTTGTCATTACACCATCATTATACCCTCTCTATATGATACTCAGGGAAAATTTAAGAGCACATATTCGGAACAATTTAGTTTGAACGTTCTTTGAACAAAATAATAAGGAAATTTTGTTTTGAAATAAACTCGAGTTTTTCAATGTAATTTTTTTTTTTTAAAAGCAGAAGGCAAGAGGATATACCTGCGATGACGAGTTTTTGTTTTCGTTTTTTTTTTTGGTTTTCGGTCTCGGAAACTCAACAAAAACTATGCATTTACAGATCCGAGTACAGGGTCAGCAACAGCGCATAAACTTGTTTTTGTCATTTCCACGCGCATTAATCAGTCTTTACCTCTATTAAATATATACAGTGTAGAGTATACACTTATCGCATTTATCGCAAAACCATTTCGAAATGACCGTAAACTCATTATTTATCCATTTTCATTGAGTATATACTATAAACAAATTCGCAACTATTTTTATCAGCGCCGGAAATATCAAACTATAAGTTACACTTTGATCGAAAATATGATGAAATACCGAGTACACCTATAGCTGTAATACAGATAGTATACTGTCGTCAGTGTCAGTCGTAAAATATCTGATTCAGGAATACGAGAGAAAAAACAAAAAATTTAAATTAAGTATCTACTTAGACCAGTTATATTATATTCTATGAAAAAAAATTAGGAATAATAATAACCCGCGTAATACACTTTCAGACAGAGTAAGGAGAAAAATATTTTTCACAAAGGTTTTGCACTATTGCGGTGATGATCATTATAAATAGTTATTTCCAATTTCGTTATTATAATAATACTTACCCAACAGAAAAACCCACCCTATTGACGTCAAAAGTCGCAAATTTATATGATGCGGTACCTACATATTACCATCAGTTTTGTCCAATTTAAACGGGATTTAATGGTATTTATTTTTTCATAATAATATTCGTACGTTTGTGTTATTTTTTTTTTATTCGCGGAAATACTCCTCCTTTGTATCAAAAGATCAAAAAATACGTTTGTTACCATGTGGTATATTATAAAATATAATATATTTTTTTAAAAAAAATATTGATTTTAAACTATATTTGTTTTTATATGATAATATATTTCCTATACTATTGAGACTATGGTAGGACAAATATCAAATAATAATATGTATTCCACGAATGGGATTATTTTTTAAAAATCTGAAATGGCACACACAAACGTATCATAAAGTAAAAATCTAATAAAACCCACCCATGCAATTCAAACGTTATGTACCTACCAATAACGAATTAATTGTGTAGCTTATTTCGTTTTAATTTCAATAGAAAACATTTTCGATTTGATGTTTAATTTTTCCCACGAAAATAAGCAAATAATTTTATTAGTATAACGATATTATGATTTTTATAATATTGTACCGATTTAAACAGATACCCAATGAGGACCATTTATTTTAGATTCCAAGATTCGTTATTTTTTTCTATCTATGAACAACTTTTCTACCAAAACTCTTGCTCCGAAGTATCAAGTGTAACGTCTTTTTTTACTAAAAAGTGATTCTTTCTAATCGGTGCAATAGGAAATCATTTTTTGATTTTTTAAGGGTTCTTTAAAATAACTGTGATAAATCTAAAAGAAAATTATAGGTTAAACGGCAAATATTTACGGCGTACCGCAACGTTGCCGTTTTCATTATTTTTGATATTCTTAATATTTTTTAATAATTGAGAAAAACTGTATAATACATAGAAAGAACGGGTAAATTTACAAAAAACATTTGTTTTATTATTTAAATTTGGTTTTCTTAATACTATTGAGTTAAAAACTTTCGTAGGGACTTGAAATTTTGACAGAAAACTTAATTAACATGTTTGTTTTTTTTTAGGCGAGATAAAATTTCAAATCATTTGATCCATTTTTAAGCTATTTATAGACATTTTCATTTTGCTAATTTTTTACTTAGTTTCTGATTAATAAGTAGTCTGTGGATGAAATTGTTAGACTAAACAGAAATGCTTAAAGATATGACAGGAGGCCCATTTTAAATCGCACTTAATGCAGGTAAAAAAAAAATGTAGTAGTGTTATGTAGTACTTACCTATTATTTTTTTAAAATTTTAAAATCAAAATTTCACGATCTTCGTAAATATTACGGCCCTTCAAATATTTATAAACGAACTTCACTGTGAATCGTTTTTTGTTATCAATGGTTTATCGTTGATTACAGGTATAAATCAAATAACTTTATATATATATATATATATATCATCTTCCTAACTAACCCCCTACAACAGTAGACGCACCCGTCCTCGAGTTTAGGAAAAAAAGGCAATATATTTATATTACATATTATAATGTAAAAAGTAATATTATTGGTTAGTACTATATATTATACAATACCCACACAATATTTTAATACTATTTACTGTATTATTATGATATATCCAATGATAATATTTTAAACGTTTTCACAAAAATAATTATCGGAGCAAGTTATCGAAATCTGAGGTCCATAATTGAAATCGAATGTAAACGTAGCATATTATATAAGTTTTAAATAAATAAATTTTTGTATAGGTACCTGTATATTTTTTTACACTATGTATAATATTCATATGTACATATTTATTTATTTTTATACAATGTACAAAAATTCTACTATAAATCACGCTCAGATATACACGCGTGGCATCATTCTGAAAGGGAATGTTGTCCAGATGGTACGTTTAGTAGATCATTTTTTGATTTTCTAAGCGGTTTTCTTAATACCTGGGAAAAACTATGATAACACGTAAGAAAAACGGGAAATTTACGAAAATAATGATTTTATTATTTTTCAATTTTTTTATTTGTTGTAATTCAGGTAAAAATATCCATAAAGACTTTGACAGATTTTAACAGAAAACCCATGTTTGTCTTTTCCAAACGTGGTAAAATATTCAAAAAATGTAAGACATTCTTGAGGTATTTATAAACATTTTAATTTTGAGAATTTTGTACGTAATATTTATTCGGTAGGTACTCTGTGGTAAAATTGTCAGACGTGAACAAAAATGTGGTATTTACTTTGTAGTAAAAATTATAAGTATTTACTTACAGGAATCTTACCTGTTTAAAAACAATAGAAGCTTTTAAGCTTTTTTAAGTTCAAATTTTTACAGAAATTACAATTTCAAAACTTCGATTAGAATCATACTTCGTTAGCTGAAATGATTTATCGTAAATAAAATAACACGTTTACTACGTTTTTATGAAGCATTTAAAATGTTTTGAAATTATTCAAAACGGCTTAGAAAACAAAAATAAAAAAAATTATGGGTAAATGTTTATATGCAATTATAGTAATTAAAATAGATTTTGTGTTACAACCGATTCGAATCTTTTGAAAATGTTTTAACCTAATAAAGTTAATTTCGTAAAAAAAATGATTTTATTTATAACGTTTATTTCCTTTAGTATTTCAGTATTAATATGTACAACTAAATAGTTGTATCATAAACTTGTAATTATTTTGTCCGGCCGTTGTCACTTTTATGCAGTCATACATAGCAATTGTCATTACGTATTACACTATACCTTCATTTGTGATAATTATATATCATAATATTAAGTTTTTATAATGTATTCTGTACAGCGACGTCATTTAGACCACGCAGCGTATGCATTTGCTTATTTGAAATCCAATATTAAAGTAATTTGTTATCGCTGAATATGAAGTAACATTAAACCACCAAGTCGATTTTGAGATGTCTTCGTTCTAAGTCTAGTTGTTGAATTATGGTAACGGCTATTATATTTAATTTAACCATTGAACATGCGCAACGGTTTGAATTACATTTGTTTCTACACAAAAGCTCAAGTATCTTTGCCTCCGATAATGCAGCAACTGTTTCACAAAGCATTGTTTCCTTAATAATTTTGACTTGATCAACTGTTATACAATTTTATGTAGCCAGTAAGTCAGTTGCAAATTTGTATAAATTATCTTCCGAAAGAAAAAAAAAGTATTGGGCAAATTTTTTTTGTTTCTTATACCTAATTTGGATGATAGTAAACATTTCCGAAGTTATATATGGCTGCCAAGCCATATACAACCATCGATAAGATCACAGTTATCTA